CTAACTTTCTTTAAATAATTCACGATGCCGTAATACATATATACATATACAAATTGTGTCAGGTGTATCGATAATAAAACAATCGTTTAGTCAGCGAGCCAGAGCATAGTGGTAGGCCCGTTTTGTAAGTCTAGTAATCAAGTATAATACAAGGAGGATGAAAGTATCCATCATCGAGAAATAAAGGAAGCTGCTAAGGTCGGCGCAGTCCGCTCAACACTCTTCGCTCTCGTTCTCACAGTTGTTAATTAAGGTATAAAAATAATAGCCTCCAGTCGACACACGTTCGTCCGCCGACTGTACACACACAAATGTGAAAAATTGGTATCTGAGCATTTATCGTATTATTTCTTTTCTTTCCTTTTCTCTATTCGCATTTTTGCGTTCTTGTTTTGCGACACAAAGGCTGCGGCTAAAAATCGGAAACTCATTCGCAAATCACGCAGTTTCGGTTTGGTGTCATTCACTCTCTCTTTCTCTCTGTCTCGCACACATACATGCACACACGCACACGCATGTTCACATTTTTTTGCTCTCTTTCACGCTCATTCTTTCTCTTTCTCTCTCTCTCTCTCTTTCTATTCGCATAAAAATAGTTAGGCACTAGAACAATAATATAATATAAGTAAAGTCCGTCAGTCCTATGTGAGTCAGCTACAAGTTAATCACATGTTTTAACCTCTCTTTCTGTTTTCCTTTTTTTCTCGTACAATTAACACATTCGTCGTAACAAATAGAATCACGCGTTAGAATCGCTGTGATTAAACGCACGAATGCTCGATGTTTTCGCGATCGCCACCCTTTTTGCCCTTACTTTTATAAATAACGAAATTGGTTGAAGCAAGGAACTGTGTGGTACGTAGTGTTTCTTACCGAGTCGTTACATTCAAGTCATACGATCCGATTAATTCTAGGTCCATTGACCCATAAATCTAGCTCACGATAGCGAATATACTTATTTTTTTACAATAAAAATTACGCTCTCCTCCTCTGCCCTCTCTTTATCAACACGCTGTTGTGTTTTTATTTTATTCAGTACATGTTTTTAATGAGAATACCTGGGACTTTCAAGGATTTGAAAAATTCTTAAAAAAGAAATATTCGATATATCATATTTTGAAAACAATAGCCATTAGGTTCATAAATGTAATGTTTAATATATTATTTTTATACATATATTTTATATTGTTTTTCTTCAAAACTGAAGAATTTATGTAAGCAAACATCACTTCAGAATATGTTTTTGAATATTTTTACTATTTGAAAGTAATCATTTGTTAAGAAAGAATTTTTGGAATATCTTGAAAAGTGTCCCAAGGAATGAGCACTGAATGGTTCACAATTTGCATTCAACTCGATTAAAGAAAAATTTTATAATTAATTATGTTCTAATATTTATGAATGTCTATATCGCACAGTGACCCAGCATATTGTCAGAGATAGTTTTTATGTCCCTTTGCCTGATATGTGTGCTTCTACATAAAAGCTTCTAGACAATTTATTCGTACACTGGAACAGGCTTTTTTCTGTGCTGCTTTTTTTTTCATTTTCTTCCTCTCTGAATTTTTAGATAATGTTTTGTGAAACGCAATGTTCATCAATAGAGTGTCTTTATGAATCTCCTTCTATGTATGAAGATCTACATCATGTCCTATACATATACAATAAATAAATTACATTAATCACAACGCAAGTTTAAATGAAAGGTACAAATGCTATATGGAATACGAGACTGTCGAATTTGCAGCATGGAATGTGCTAGTGATTATAATATCATATGTGTTTGATTTCTATTAACTTTTTATAAAAGCTTAATGATGATTGTTACTATAATGTTACTATATGGGAAGAACAAAAGAAATAATTAGTTCTTTGCAAATATAATGTTTATAAATTATTGTCTATAAAATGAAATAATTTCTTCGCTTATTTTCTGTTAAAAAAAATGTTACTCTTATTTATTACCTCTGTTAAAAGTTTAAACATATAATATTATATAAATATTTTAATTTTTCAATAAAAAATCTGAAGAAAATATTATTAATGTCACTTTGAAAAAAATTTGCAATTTTGTAATTATAAAATTTCTTGAATTATCTCAAAACAGTTTTTAATAATGTAGTAAACATAACTTATGTAAAAAAAAGTTTCATGTCTCACATAAAAAATTAATAAAATCAATTCAATGAAAACATAAAGCATATAAATATTATAATGCGTTCTATCACGCAATCTGTTATTCTATACAAAGATGATTCGACAATAGTAAGAAAATTTTCGTATCAGCAGATAAGGGTACAGTCTTAAAGTATACAGATACAAATCTAAAATGCACTGAAATATACATTTAGAAAATTCCATAAACAATTAAATTAAAATAACGAAAAATGTGTACTTCGTCGAATTGGTTATCAAGTAATTAAAAGTTTGTGAGACAAACTTATCCTTGAAGTTAATTACATACGTATACATAATCGCGTATAGAGTAGACGATACGCAATAGAACATTTCATCGAATTACAAAAATTAAATAATTGTTACTAAAATATGAATGGTACTTCTTTTAAAAATGAAATTTCAATATTCTGCATTAATGTGCAATTCGAAAATAATTTTTTTTGATCCATTTTTATGAAAATTTTTCAAAGTATAATTTTTTGGTAGTTAACGATATTGCCACATTGTAAATATGAATCATTATTTTTGGAATATAATTTTCTTATCAATTAACAATATTGCAATATTTAAACTATAAATTATTTTTTAAAAGTATTATAGATACAGTGAAAAGCATTTGTAGTTTTCAATTATGAAGAACAATCATACATTGCATTAAAAATTTCGCATAGACTTAAAGATGTTAACAATTTGTTATAAAACATTTATAATTCAAGATTGGTAAACAATGAAAGTGTACCAACTTACTAATTTCTGAAACCTGTAAAATGTTCATAACTTTGGTTTCATATTTACCAAAGTTATAGTTATATAAGAAAATGCTTGCATTTCTACAATTATTTTATCTTACATTCTTTGATTGATGACATTCACTGAAGGTGCACACATCTATAAAATCAAAACAATTACGATAATAGTAAATTTCATTATTATTATCGTTCGTTATAGTGGTATGTTATTTTCATAGAATGATTGGAAGGTAGATCTATTCGCCAAAGATTTAAAAAGTTGAACTGTCCATAAATAAAAAATTTTGCTCGAAAATTTGATACGTCCTCCATTCGACACTGCAAATGAACACATATCGGTGTACCATACGTGATTTTCAATCTCTGTGTGTAAACATATACAATTTTGCTACTAGAATTAAATAACCATTAATTTTCTTTCAATTATTAAATGGATAACATATAATATAATTCCATAATGCCAGAAATGCATAAAATTACGATTTACAAATTATACGTGGAAATTTCATACGACAAAAATGTATCTAAAATGTGACGTGAAAATGAAATAATGGTTAACATGAGATGATAAATGGTGCAATCAGCTTTTACAAAAATATTCACTCCTATGACTTCCTTGATCGTCGATTTCGCTGTATATTAAAGAATCTTGATGTTTCAAACTCGTTACTGATAATTTGTAATATCGTTTCCTTGGAATATGATTACTTTCATTTCTTTCTAACTCTAGAAGTATGAAAGTAGTCAAAATTACTAGTACTAGACTTTTTATTTTTGCAAAAACATGTAATTACTTTTGGCAAAGGTAATGTTTACTTTTATTCTGATAAAAATGCAATTATATGTACCTAAGCATTTTCATTACACCACTTTCATTATTATTATCTTAGGTACGTATTACAAATAGATAGTTCTAGTGTGAAAAGAAAAACAAATACAATATAACCTAAAATAAAGGTATATGTGAAGGTATACATAAAAGTCAAACCAAAAGTTTTCTTATTTACAAAAATTGATATGATATAATAAAAAGATACAAATAATTTGAAAATAAAATTCGATATTACAAATTACCTGAATCATTTCCAACATTTGAAAAACTTGACTTAAACTTCCTCCATTGCTTAACCATATAATACTGAGATTATTATAAAATCATAGGTTTCAATTTTTTTTATTTGAAAGTTTATACATTCACTGTTATCTTTATCCTCAAACAGAGGAATTCTCAAAGGAATTCTAAGTGAATATCCCAAAGAATTAACAGCGATCATATAAACTATCCAATTGTGTTCATATAATTAAAATCAAAATTAACATGGCTACCCTCATACACAAAAGTATCAAATACTGACTGTTTTTAACAAGTAAAATATACATGTTAAATCAAAATATTTGAATTGTATATTGGTATATATATCAAGAAAAAAGATCTCAAGATTATGTCAATAAAATTAGAAGATAATTTAACAATATATATAATATTTTCAGTAAATTTATTATGTAATGTATTATATTAGTCAAAAATACAATTAATTGAGTATGATCCATCCTCCATCACTATGACAACCTCAGCATGTTTTTCTACTAAATACACAAGCTGTATGAATTTCCTATTTGTAATAAATACCATCTAAATGTTATACGGACCATTGAATTATTTTACAATTTTACTGATACCTTAAGACTTTTTTTCTCATTATACATGCCACATCTTTTCAAACATCTTTGGTTTAGCATATACATTTCACACATTTAATTATATGTATTATTGAATTATTTCCTGTTTTATCGATATACTTTTCTTCTCTTACCATATATACCATATCTTTTGCAAATATTTCTGTTTAACCTTTATTACATTTCATTCGTTAAACATATCAAATATATGTATTCGAATACTTTTGTATATAAATATATATTCCTACAACACTCTCTAACTTCTCGTGACAAAAGTCACATTTCCATTTTCAAGTGCAGACGTATCTTCCTAAGTACTAATCCAACGAGTCAGTCGATCAAGATTCCTTAAACATTTTGACTGACAAGTCGACGAGTGACAAACATCGCGATTCAGCTGTCGTTGGAGATCGGATGACACTCGAGGGAATCACACTCGGCGAGGGCTTCGCCACGTCGAAGGGAATAGTCATCGCTTAACAGACTCTCGGGCAACATGGCCGCCGAGTCTATGCTATCGAAATATCGATGCGGCCAGACAGAGCTCTGTCGGAAGCGTCTAGTTGGCGAACCGATAATGAATTCCACTCTGGTAGGTCCGGTCACCGACGAGGTCTCTTGATTCAAGGAGTCCAGATATAAGGAGGAATCGCTGTGCCGGAAGCTGCTGTTCGTTAAGCACCAGGAACTAGGTGGTTCGGTGCAACTCTGAAAAAGTCAAATGCTGTTAGCTCTTTGTGATCACAAGCTGTCTACTAACGAGAACTTGGCTTTCGAAATTTGCACGTAGCTTGTATCTCACTGCATTATTTTCTTTTTTGATTCCTCCGAGGCAAAATACACACAACAAAACCCACAATGATCAGTGCTCGAATACCGTCTTTGGCATTTTTTCTTTTTGTCTTTTATGGTACTAATGATGGCTATCAAAAGTGTTGCTAATTTATGTGAATGCTGTGTGCGTATGGGACAAACAGATGTAATTTTGTTGAGTCTGAGTATTCGACGTCCAGTAAATATTCTACATGATGCTCAAAAGTTCGACAGGTATACTTTGGAAGCATACTTGAATGAATATTGGGATCAAAAGATCGCAATTACTTAGTACATTTAATTTTCATTTACAAATATCCTGCTAATAACATAGATCAAATACTTTATAACTCTGAGGTATAAAAAAGACGAGGTTTAAAAAAATGTTATGAAAAATACATGAATATTTATAATCTTTTTAAATGATAAAACTGAATTCCGTTAAAGAGAGATAGAAATTAATTCGTGTAATACATTTGACGCCAATAATTTCCTGGAAAATTCCACGAAATAGAAAAATATATGCTACCTATCATGCTTCACTAAATATTCATTAAACGCGAAATAAAAAAGAGTCAGGTATACATATAATTTAAATAAATAAAGCATAACTGATTTTTATCAGTGACGACATCCTTCGAATATTCTTACTTCGTGGAAAAGTACAGTATGCTTTAAAATTACAAACATTTTACACATTTACAAACAGGATGGCTATCAATTTCAACAACTACCTCATCAACACCTCTCTCACTTGAAATATTTCCAAAATACACGGTTTCAATCGAACTTTCGGTCATCACAGCGAATATTAAGAAGACCAGCTGCACTTTACAGAGTGCTCGAAAAAGGACGAGATTGTAAATTACTATTTAATTCGTGGTATCACGTAGCACTGGACGTGAGGTGGACAATGAACCGCAAGGCCAAGCAGGTAAGCGTGTGGTCGATTCATTTTCCTTTACATCAATCATTATAAGTGCGAATCCGAGCCACGTCATGGCTCTCGAGGCTATGTCCGCATACAAGCAACGCTAGCAAATAAGATCAAACTTCAGCAAATGAAAGAGCAAACAAACTGAAAGATTAATGGACATTCAAAATAGGGGAATCTTCGCTAGCACGGCGTGAAAATTTACGGTAATATCGTGTTGGACGTGCGTGCTGAAATAAATTGCTCTGTTTCTTTTCGAATGCATAACTGCAATAAACGTAATAATACGGCAAACTGTTGGGGAGAAGGGGAGATGGATGTCAGGATAGTCGAGGAGTCGAATTATCCCCGACATTCGCTTTCCGGTAAAATTATCCGTCGAATTTTGTGATTTATCATTGCATGCTGAAAAATGCCATTACATTGCACTTGGTACTTTGGTGAGCCTAGTACTAATCCCTCCAACTCGAGTAACTTGAACTCCATGAGTCACAAAATTCGACAAAGGCATTTTATATCAATCCGCATGCATCTGCTGCAAACATAACGCCGCTATGGGGTCAATGAGAGAAAGAACCTCGGGAAATGGTAAATATCGCAGTGGGAAACGTGTTTGATAGCATAGTATGATTCAAATACCCAGTTGAGTAAAACAGTATAGTGGCAAGATAGTGAAATAGCACTCTAGTCTACTAGAAGTCAGACAAATCCCCTGATGGAAGGTGCGAGGAGCAAAGATGTCAAGTACCAGAGAAATTAAAGCTATAGGCTAATAGTTAACTACGTTCTTATTACGCTTCACCATCTATTTAGGATACATTATAAAACTCGCGTGCAATCTTGCTGTACTCGATTACTCGGATCCTCGCACAGGAAAGAACTAATATCTTTGGGGTATGGACGCAAGTTAGGGTCACGTGTCACAAATGCTGCTACTTTTTCTGCACTGGAAAAGAAAACAAAAAGAACAGAATGTAATATATATATGTGATTGCTCCTGTAAGGACCAGTTCAACTAATTTAGATGGAAATTAAGGGGGAGGCTTGCTACGGGTGCGTGCGCATACCAAGAACCAATGTGAAAGAAATAAAAGGACAACTACAGACGTGTGCTATATACGATGAGACGAAAAACAGGGAGTTGAGGATAAAAACAGGCTCATAGCTCACCACATCCAGGAAGAAGCATCGAAGCAAATGATAATAAAAGAAGCATAACTTACGAGAAAAACCGGCGGCACGCGAGAAGGGGCCATTTTCTTTATTGGACCGCCGGGGACGGGCTCGAACGCACGCTCGCCTGCGCTCCAGATCAGACATTTCGGTAGTGGATCGTCGGGCGATTCGTCGTTTTTAAGACAAGTGTCGGTCGAGAGTCTCTGTGTACGTCAGAGTTTGAATAACGTTTTCAGGAATGATCGAGTGTCGAGGGGATGGTTAGAAATGGAATAGAACCGATTCCACATCTCAATAGATAGTTACGCACGCTACGAACGAGTGCTGCTGAAGGAAGCAGGGATAACGACAGGGAACGAGAGAAAATAGAACGGAAGTGATGAAAGAACGATCGTGAAAGAAGTGTGACGCGGCGATTAGAAGTACAATAGTATCAGCGATTACAGGGACTGTGGTTACATTGGTAAACGGGTGGCGCAAGGGATGGAGAAGAACAGTAGAGACTAGCGAGTCAGCTGTACCGATAATCAAAATAATCCAATCGACTGTAAGTAGCGACAGTTAGCGACCACTTGGTCGTTTGTTAACCGGGCTTACGGTGAGCACAAGTCAGCGTGTCGAGACGGGAGAAAATTAGAAGGTCCGAGAGGCGTAGGAGGCGGACTCGGTTCGAGGGGGCCGCAGTTAGAAGCAGCAGGTATCCCTAACAGTGACTATTGGCCGTCCTGGAGATGAGGATACTTGGTGGTGGACTCTCTACTGGATCGGGCCGTTGGACAACGGTGACTTCAGCCAGCTGGTCCAAAAGTATTGCTTTACGGGTCGTACCTTGCCGTTCTCGGTATCAACGGATGTCGACGCGCGGGCCAGGCTGTAGGAACGGCGTGCAGGAGCGGGCGGTCGTCGAGGAGGAGTCGTCCCTGGGGATGAGGACGTGCCGAGGTTGTTAGACTCCAGCGAGTCTCGGGCGCGGGACAGCGAGGAGGATTTGTTTAAGGAGTCTCGGCTGGAATTGTTACGCGGCAGGGACCTGTTCAGGGACTCCCTGTTCGTCTCCTTGCTGTTTCCGTTCCCGTTATTACTTCCACCGCCATTGCCTGCGCCACCTCCGTTGCTGTTGCTGTTACTGTTCTTGGTCAGGCTTTTGTTGCTCAGAGAGTCTCGATTCGAGTCACGAGCCTTTGACAGGGACTTGCCACCGTGACTGTCGCGACTAGAATCACGCGGGGGCCTCGTCAACGATTTCAACGATTCCTTGCTGTCGTTTCTTCCGTGGCTAGGTGGTCTGGGTGCTGCAGCCTTTCCCGTGCTACCGGGCAAAGGTATACGACTAGGACGTCGCCGTGGCGACGGTTTCACCTCGATCGCTTGATGATGATCGCGGGCTGACTCTGTGCTGCTGCCTGGCTCCAGACCGTTCTGCTCGCATCTAGGCTGATCCGCGTCTGCCTCTGGGTCCGTTTCCGTTGGCGGTCGTTGTTGCAGTCTCTCCAGCACGCGGACACGAGCTCGCGTCCCTTCCAGTTCGATGTTTCTCTCCTCCAGCTGAAACGTACGTACACATATTAGACTTTGGACGAGTACCGGGTGAAATGGTCGAACGAGTGATCCGAAGTTTGAGAAAGTGTAGAGATTTTTGTGGGACTAGCATGTCTAACGAGAATCTGTTATTTTAATATCAAGAGAATGCTAGGAGAGACTCTCTCTTCTGCGATTTTGTCGTGCACGCGAGTTATCCTTTCAGACATGTCCGAGTTAATACCCAGTCGGTATTATAATACTTACAGGTGACAAGATGGAAGATATGACAACAAAATGGCGGAGTACACGGTGAAATTTGTTCTCTGGTAACTTTGAAACGCCAGATCGTTGTTAATTGAATAGAGAAACATAGAAATTATGACAGATAGGATTTTTAGTTTTATTTTTCGTTCTTTCCTCGGTGTCGGGGGAAAAGAGCAGCCTGGGAAGATAAGAAAGAACCTTGGACGGGCAAAACAGATAATAGACACTCGAGCCTCTGTACGTTTTCGTGACCAATCATTCATCGTACACATGTAATTAAGATCATATCTAACTTGTATAAATTACCTGGAAACGTAGGTCGTCGTTCTCTTCCCGTGCCTTGTCTAGTCGTTCGGAGAGAGTTTCCGTGCTTTTTTCTACCTCGTCTAACCTCTTCTGCAGGACCTGTAAAACACACGTTTACCTTAGCAACGAACTCCATTAATTTCTTATTATCCAAGAATCGTTAATCTCCGCAGTTCCACGTATTTAATCTCCAAACGAAAGAATAAATTTCCACCTTTCGAATAGTCGTGTAATTATTGCAGACGTATAGTTGGTTCGAGCGATACAGCGAGGTCATGAAATCAGTCGAGCGCAGAAGTGCAAATGTTTTAACTTCTGTAACTATAACCTGGGATAGCTTGACGAGATAAAGAGCTCAAGCTTTGATCAGTGCTTAAAGATGGGAATAGGTTCCTCCATTTTTAGATATTACTGACAACTGGTCACGAAAAATCCAAATTTCTTTTAATTTTCAAAATGGGAAATAGATAATGGTAAGAGATAGTAAATTAGTATAATATAATGATCGACGAATTATGTCAAAACTGGAAATTAAGAACAATTTTTCCTGTTATACTGCTTGACCTTAAATACAATACCTAGAGGTGTATACGGCGAGTGATGCCGACTGTTGGCGCCATCTGGGGTGTCATTTGGGTATCAATCACGCTCATCGTTAAATACTATAATCACCTACTTTAAGTTTACGACGTGGTCACGAATTTTTACTACTCCTGATTATATTGTCATTCGCAGTTATTTGACATACTTTGATCCTTCGTTCAGGCGATTTTGAGGATAATTCAAGTATTTTTATGCTTCTGGATGCACATCTATGTATAGGTCCACTACATTAGACTCAGGTCTGTATTTTCTTTGAAGTCGCTTATCTTATTTTTATACTGAACTTTTTAAACGAAGCTCGGCTCCTTTAGAGCCTATTTTTGCTCATGAATGCAGTTCTTAACAACTGTTTAAGGGTTTGACTTCTTTTGCTAGATAGTAAAAGACACGTCGTGACTCTTTTCAGAATTTCAGGAACTTGGAGTTTAGAACAAGTAATCTATAGTAGACTAACCTCGCAGATATACTAAATCATGCTAGAAGATAACTGAAGAACGAAGATAAATCTCTAGACATTCTTTGACTGACACAATCTGACAGGACACAGGACTCCAAATATAACTCAATGAACTGTACTGAGCATTAGCCTAATCAAACTGAAGTTAGAATCACTTTGAACTAGACCTATATACATATACTCGGTACTTCAGTTGTGCTGATCACTCAGTCACTGTACTTGGATTATTTTAACAGCTAAACGCTTGCTACCTAATCAGCTCCTTGGACAAGTCCAGACTTGGAGTTAGCATTAATGCACCACGTGGATATATCGAACCAACTATAGATCCAGAGTAACAAATGAAAAGATGACTCGTAATTTAAGCAGAATAGAGAAATGTGAGAATAATTTACCTGATTATGGACGGTAGTGGTGATTAGATGCCGCTGCAGCTCGAGAGGCGAGTTCTCTCGTAGGATGGCAGCGATCTTCTTCGAGTCAACGTCCTTAACGTTCGCAACTCTGGCGGGTGACACGAGGACGGAATCCAAAGCGCCGAGACGTGCTCTCCTCTCGTTCACTCTCGCCTCGACATCAATATCGCGCAGCTCTTCGTTATGAACGTTGATATCGAGCAGCACGTTCTTCTCGATGGTCCTCGTCCGGAAGCGGCTCTTGTGAGCCTTCGTGGACGTCGCGACTGACGCGAACGCGGATGACTTGCTCTTGATGTTGCTAACGTTGTTGGTCTTCGGCGAGGACACGACAGGCAGCGCCGGAGCTATGGGCTGCAGCCTCTGTGCACCCGGTGTCAGGATATTCGACGAGGAATCGGTCAGTCCAGCTCTCAGTCGATCCTCCAAGCCGCTCTTCAACGCTGACAGTGCAGCCAATTCGGACTGAAGCTCCTGTGCCCTGGCTCGACTCGATATCGTCTCTGCCTCAAGCTCGGCTACCTTGTCCAACAGCTGTTCCTTCTCTCTCTTCAGCGCTACCACTTGGGACTCTCTGTCCTTGTCTTCCTTCTCATCCTCAGCTTTCCCGTCGTCCAAACAGGTGACCTTCCTCACAGCGTCCAAGATATCCGTAGAGGCTAGGTCTTCCGATGCAACGCTCTCCAATCTTCCCTGTAGACACTCTACCTCCTCTCTCAGCCTGATCCCTTTACGATGAATCACGTCCAGGAGGTTCCACAGCTCGTCCTCTGCCTCGTCCAGCACAGCAGGCCGTGGACTGTTAGGTCTAGGTGCTATCGCTGTAGAGGCACTGTCTTTGGAGGAAGTCTCTGTGCTGAAGCCGGAATCCTGTACCGTGGCGCTGCAGTTGGTCTTGGTGCCGCCACTGTGAGAGTTACTGCGACTCCTCGGCAAGGATGACGACGAGGGCTCGCCACCTTCGCGAGGAACTCGTCTCCTGACCTTGCCAGGCTCCCATTCGTTGATTCTTCTGGACGACGGGCTGGACAGTGGCAAGGGGATGTGGGAGTTCTGGGTGCAGGAGGATGACATCACGGATGCCCCCGCGGAGGCCGTCGCCGCCATCTTGTGCCGCAGGTTTGGGAACGTCTCGATGACGAGGTCCCGGAACTCGAGAAGGACACCGACCTCATTCTGGAGCTCCTGCAGGGCGATCAAGGACTTCGCCTGCTCGCTTATCAGGTAGTGAAAGGGACCCGGTCGTAGGGGCATGCAATCCATGCCACCGCCGCTGCTGCTGTTTCCACCACTGCCGCTACCACTGACGCTCCCGACGACGCCTTCCGTTGAGCCTCCGCCACTGCCACACTGCGCAGAGAAGCAGAGGGATTCGAAAGGTTAAACGTTGACACGTTTCTACACGCTTTGCTTTTATGATCGTCTCTTCTTGTCCCGTCGTGCAATCGAGATTCGTGCACGAGTGTTTCGGTTTAGGTCAAGTGGGTTTCATGCAGCTACACGTTTTCCGAGCACGGGAATTAGTTTTCGAGACGTGTAGACTTGAATTTCGAGCCTTCCAATAGGTTAGGAACTCGTTTTCCGAATCTTCGAGATTTGGAAACTTGAATTTGGAAATTTTTGAAATTTTTGAAATTTCAGAACTCGGGATGATTCTTGTATAAATCTTTGATTATTGATTATAGTTAAACAAAACGAGATATGAATTTTCAGTTGTTATAGTATATGTAGTAATTGAATTTGGAAATTTTTGAAATTTTCGAAATTTCAGAACTTGTGATGATTTTTGTATAAATCTTTGATTATTGATTACAGTTAAACAAAACGAGATATGAATTTTCAGTTGTTATAGTATATGTAGTAATTGAATTTGGAAATTTTTGAAATTTCAGAACTCGGGATGATTCTTGTATAAATCTTTGATTATTGATTATAGTTAAACAAAACGAGATATGAATCTTCAGTTGTTATAGTATATGTAGTAATTGAGATTGGAAATTTTTGAAATTTCAGAACTCGGGATGATTCTTGTATAAATCTTTGATTATTGATTATAGTTAAACAAAACGAGATATGAATCTTCAGTTGTTATAGTATATGTAGTAATTGAGATTGGAAATTTTTGAAATTTCAGAACTCGGGATGATTCTTGTATAAATCTTTGATTATTGATTATAGTTAAACAAAACGAGATATGAATCTTCAGTTGTTATAGTATATGTAGTAATTGAGATTGGAAATTTTTGAAATTTCAGAACTCGGGATGATTCTTGTATAAATCTTTGATTATTGATTATAGTTAAACAAAACGAGATATGAATCTTCAGTTGTTATAGTATATGTAGTAATTGAGATTGGAAATTTTTGAAATTTCAGAACTCGGGATGATTCTTGTATAAATCTTTGATTATTGATTATAGTTAAACAAAACGAGATATGAATCTTCAGTTGTTATAGTATATGTAGTAATTGAGATTGGAAATTTTTGAAATTTCAGAACTCGGGATGATTCTTGTATAAATCTTTGATTATTGATTATAGTTAAACAAAACGAGATATGAATCTTCAGTTGTTATAGTATATGTAGTAATTGAGATTGGAAATTTTTGAAATTTCAGAACTCGGGATGATTCTTGTATAAATCTTTGATTATTGATTATAGTTAAACAAAACGAGATATGAATCTTCAGTTGTTATAGTATATGTAGTAATTGAGATTGGAAATTTTTGAAATTTCAGAACTCGGGATGATTCTTGTATAAATCTTTGATTATTGATTATAGTTAAACAAAACGAGATATGAATCTTCAGTTGTTATAGTATATGTAGTAATTGAGATTGGAAATTTTTGAAATTTCAGAACTCGGGATGATTCTTGTATAAATCTTTGATTATTGATTATAGTTAAACAAAACGAGATATGAATCTTCAGTTGTTATAGTATATGTAGTAATTGAGATTGGAAATTTTTGAAATTTCAGAACTCGGGATGATTCTTGTATAAATCTTTGATTATTGATTATAGTTAAACAAAACGAGATATGAATCTTCAGTTGTTATAGTATATGTAGTAATTGAGATTGGAAATTTTTGAAATTTCAGAACTCGGGATGATTCTTGTATAAATCTTTGATTATTGATTATAGTTAAACAAAACGAGATATGAATCTTCAGTTGTTATAGTATATGTAGTAATTGAGATTGGAAATTTTTGAAATTTCAGAACTCGGGATGATTCTTGTATAAATCTTTGATTATTGATTATAGTTAAACAAAACGAGATATGAATCTTCAGTTGTTATAGTATATGTAGTAATTGAGATTGGAAATTTTTGAAATTTCAGAACTCGGGATGATTCTTGTATAAATCTTTGATTATTGATTATAGTTAAACAAAACGAGATATGAATCTTCAGTTGTTATAGTATATGTAGTAATTGAGATTGGAAATTTTTGAAATTTCAGAACTCGGGATGATTCTTGTATAAATCTTTGATTATTGATTATAGTTAAACAAAACGAGATATGAATCTTCAGTTGTTATAGTATATGTAGTAATTGAGATTGGAAATTTTTGAAATTTCAGAACTCGGGATGATTCTTGTATAAATCTTTGATTATTGATTATAGTTAAACAAAACGAGATATGAATTTTCAGTTGTTATAGTATTTGTAGTAATTGAATTTGGAAATTTTTGAAATTTTCGAAATTTCAGAACTTGGGATGATTTTTGTATAAATCTTTGATTATTGATTATAGTTAAACAAAACGAGATATGAATTTTCAGTTGTTATAGTATTTGTAGTAATTGAATTTGGAAATTTTTGAAATTTTTGAAATTTCAGAACTCGGAATGATTTTTGTGTAAATCTTTGACTATTGATTATAGTTAAACAAAACGAGATATTAATCTTCAGTTGTTATGGTATATGTAGTAATTGGTGTCCTAAAATTCATGCAGAAAGTAAATTTGATAGAAAATAGGGTTTATTTATTAAAAATTATAAATATCGATGAACAATGATGACACGTTCTTTTATGTGGCACTTCATGTTTAATAATCCTGAACTATCAGCTGTCACGCTGTCTTTTTTCTTTCGTTGTCAATACTTTACTGTACAAATGGCGCAAGATTCAAATCTTGTATGAATTTTGAGACACTCTATATATTTACTAAATTTGATTTTGTCATATTAATTGTACTATGATAATTTATAAATAAAAAATATATTTTTATTAGTTAGTGAAGTGAAATTTGTTCTGTTTTATTTATTTTAGTATAAGTACAATAATTTATCATGCATCATTAAAATACGGTGACAATTTGACGTAATGTTATCGTGTTTATTTAATTTGTTTATTTATTTTTTCTGTTTAATTCATTATAGTGTTGGGTGTACTGAAAAATGTTTCAAAGAATAGCGTTGATGATGGTGTGATATTTTTCTTGCATTTGGGTTTTGAAAATTTTTCATAGCATAGAAAGAAGGAAAATTTGGGAGAAATTGGAAATTTTCTTGGAATTGAAAGGGCTTCGAGAATTCCATTTTTATTTCTAATATTTATATGTATTTAATTAATTAATTCAATCATTTTTTTCATTTGTTATAATAAAGGGTGTATTGAAAAGAATTTCAGAGAATAACGTTGAAGGTGATGTGATATTTCTTTTCTATCTAGGTTTTGAAAATTTTTCATAGCATAGAAAGATGAAAAATTTTGAAGAAATTGAAAATTTTCTTGTGTTTCAAAAGATTTCGAGAACTCCATTCCTATTTTCAATATTTATATATTTTTATTTAATTAATTAATTAATTAATTTTTCATTCTTTATAGTGTTTGCTGTATTGAAAATTGTTTCAGAAAATAACGTTGATGGTGGTCTGATATTTCTTTTCTATCTGGGTTTTGAAAATTTTTCACAGCATTGAAAGATGTAAAATTTAAAAAAAAAATTGGAAATTTTGTTGGGTTTGAAAGAGCTTCGAGAACCCTATTTCTATTTTCAATATTTCGAATCAAAAAAGGCTGTAAAATTTCGATTTTTCAAAACTCGAAATTTTCTAGTGTTTCGAAGTTTCTAAGTTTCAAGGAACCCATTAAAAGTTCAATTAATGCTTGGAAGAGTCATGGAGAATATTCCGAGATATTCGATAGCGAAGCAAAGGGGATAACAAAATTGTACGTGCTATCGTTATATGTTTGAGAAAATTGAATTTAATGATGTTAGAATATTAGATACAGACGTGTTTAGTTAAGTTGATTCGTAGCTTTTATTGAAGATTTTTATCATATAATTATGAAGTATGGCAGACTAACATCTTGTGTATTACTTTAATAATTGATGTGCATGAAGTGTAACTAATGTGGTTCGAGTTCCTGGTACTTCTAGACACTAATAATAAGAGATCGCTGAGAAATTATAGTGCTCGAAATACACTCTAGATCTTTAAAGGATATGGTTCTTTAATCCTCTGTAACAGAAATTTTATTTGTTTGCATTTCACAATTTCTCATCGTGATTTGGAAAGTAGAAGCTAATACCAAGTGTGTAAATTAAATTGTAGTTTTTCAAACGGATCTCAAGGATCACCTAGTATTCATTTAATCATCAAAATGATCCCTATTGTTTTTCACAATTTCCATTTATTTTTCCATCAAATATCGAATTTTATTGCAAAAAAGTTCTGATAATTTAAATTTAATAAATACAAGTATACATTTTTAAAAAAATATAACATAATAATCTATATAATATAACGTTTTATAAAAAGAATAACGATTAAAACAGTTTCTATTATTTTATATAATTTCATTTTACTTTCTGCTTATATAATTGTGCCATAATTAGTATAAAAACTATATTAAATAAAAATACTCGTTTCAAATATAAAACAATAAACGCAAATAATAATAGTAAAGTCTTTACCAACAAAAAGAAGTCTACAGACACACATACACACACACTCATACAATTATCATAACTCTCGCATGAACCATTTCTCCTTTTATGGTACACTTCAAAAGCTATCCAGTTACGTGAATGTCACCTGGACTACCTTTATACCTCTCGCGAATGAATCTCCGACAATAATTAACGTCACACACACACACACACACACACACATTCTTTCTCTATCTCCAAACCATACAACTCTCACGCAAACCATTTTCCTATCCAAAGCATACTTCAGAAGCTACCCAGTTACCAGCTACGTGAAAGTTACCTTTGGACCACCCTATATACCTCTCTTAGATGAATCTCGGACAATAATTAGCCGCATACACATATTCTCTCTCTATCTCCAAACTATACAACTGTCACGCAAACTATTTTTCCATCTAAAGC